AAGTTAAACTGACTAACAACGCACTACTATGTTCAACGTACCTTGGCATAACGTAGACCGAGACCCCCTCGTCGTTCGTCTCCTCTGTGGGGTTGGACTTTGTACTATTTGTACTTTGACCTTAGGCCCTATTGTATTTAACTGGCTTCTTGATCATTCTAATAATGTGACTAAAATATTCTTCACTTTATAACAAGGGTGAACATTTCTTTTTCTTATTTTTTAACCTAAATTTATTAAATTTTGCAATTTCTTTCTGAACCATTTTGCAGATCTTAATACAAAAATAATTTTGTATATGGAAGCGTTGTTATGCGGTATCGGAGAAAATAAAAAACAAATTTTAACTAAAAATGTTAATGTTATTTTTATGAAGAATAGGAAACTGGTGTAGTTTGCTTGTTTATGAATATATTTTAATCAAATGTGGAAAATGTATTTATTTCATAATCAACTATTAGAATTTCCCTAAAAACATTCTATTACCTTTCCTGTAGTAGCAAAGCCATTAAACTAATGCAATTTCACTAATGCATTTTGAAGATATTTAAGTGAAAATAAAAACAGGCAAATATAAATTCGCTCAGTTTGCAGGTTTGGTGCTTCAGGGGTATTGGTATTAGGAGAGCCTTGGGAGAGGCTACAGTTGAGGTCCGGGGTACGTAGTCGCAGCTAGTCTGGGCGCGCAGCCGCGCTTTGGCAGGGGTTGTAGAGGGGAGTGTTTATTGCTCATTTCCAAAAACATCTAGTCCACACGGCTCTCTTGGGTTGTTCAATGCCTCGGCGCTGTCTTCATGGCTTTGGCGAGGGGGACGGTTAGTACACAAGGGTGCGCGCGCCCAGACTATAGTCCGCGCGCGATAACTTTTCACTTCCGTGTGAATTTTGTATCGGCAACGTCGCACCGCCGAGGCGAGCGCCCGCTTCTTGTCGCTTTGGCTCGACATGTGACAGGTATTTTTAGGATGGGGTAGCGAGCCCTGCAGCGTTGCCAAGTTGTGCAAGTCCCAAGTGAAAAGTTATCGCGCGCGGAGTATAACTGCGACTACTGTACAATGGAGCGCATGGAAAGAGGGAGGTCCTTCACACCATGGAAAAAGATTACGAAGAGAAAGGCTCCTTGGCGTTATGGAAATATCAAGCGTTTGTCTAAAAAGAAAAATAGACTGCAAAATCGTTATTGGAAAGATAGTAGGTATTAGAATTCGTAAAGATATAAGAGGGTTAGAAACAGGTTAGATAATCTAATCTGGAGTGCAAAGGAGACATATCTTTATGAAAACCTATCAATGTCAAAAGATTTAAAAGAATTTTGGACGTGTCTGAGATGTGAAAAGTAAGAGTAAGGCATAGTAAGGCTCCAAGAGTAACTCGAGCATTCCACATGACCTACAAGCTGATGATTTCAACAAATATTTTGTTAACATGGGAGCTGAGTCCGGTATTGATAAACAGCTTTGGGAATATTTTATTGATCGAGATGACTTAACTAATACAGTAACTTCAATTGTAGAAATGTCAGTGAAAGAGTGAAGAGGTTATGGACGTAATGAATTAGATCAAATCAAAAGCATTGGGCAGTCATGATATTTCAATTGAAATGATAAAAACTGTCAGCCATTATTATGCGATAATGATAAAAGTAGTTTACGCAATGATTGCGTTAAGTTAGTCTGTACGACACGAGTAGAAAATTTAAGGCACGAGCCTTGGCGAGTGCCTTAAAAACTTCTACGAGTGTCGTAAAGACTATTAACGTGAGTTGCGTACACTACTTTACCTACGACAGTTTTTTAATTACTAACAATCTGGTTTATAATTACTAAAAATCACTACTCATTACTTCTTAGAGAGGTTATGTTTTCGTTTATTGTCAGTACCAATGAAAGGAAAGTGATGCAACGACTTATTGTATAATCAGCTGATTTCCTGTAATTACGTGTTTGTAAAACTTCGTTAAAAAATACGTTACCTTTTTCAGGGAATGTGTTCTGCTGGCAGCATTCTTACCATAAATACTGCATCAGGTACAATTAGGAAAATTTTGCATTTTGTTTTTGACAACTGAATGATTATAGTGAAACAGTTAATTTACAGTTAGATCTCAGCATCGAATATTATAGAATATTATAAACAGTTTGTTCTCTCATTTCCATCTCGTCAACTTCACTTTCACTAACTGACATTATTAAATCAGTTTAATCTACCTTCCTTTAACTTCCACAAACTTAGGTTAAGAATACGCGAGTATCAACAGGAACAAGTCGGATCAACAATTAAATTGGTCAACTGATCAGCTGATTAGTTGACGTTCGAAGCATTACAATTTTAATTCTTTTCTCTCAATACTTTAACCTCATTGGTCCGTTACCTGTGTTGATATGAGAAAAACTATGCTGATATGAAATTAAACTATGCTGATATGAAAGTAAACACCTGTTAAGTGAAACTTTTCAATTCTAAGAACTGAACTGAAATGGCTACTTTAAAAAACGGTCGTAGGTAAAATCAATTACCCATCTGATAAACCTATCAATAGACAACGGACAGTTTCCTGAAGAATGAGTATCATCCGACCGCTACCCAAACTTACAGAAGCAAGGAAAGTAGAAGACCTAAGGCCAATCTCAATATTACCAGCTATGTCAAAGATATTATAGAAGATTGCTATTCCCCAAATAGTGAGCGACATAAATTCGCCAAATATATTACCTAAACTTCAGTCTGGCTTTAGACCTATCCACAGAACGTTAAGAAATGAATGTTAAGAAAGCTATGATTATATAGACCATAGACCATCATACATCGTAGTAAGGTTTTTTTATCTATGGTAGTACCAATGAGCAAGGTAAACATGGACAACCTAATGCGGCTATGAGTGGGGAAACATTTGAAGAAAACTCTACAAAGAAGATCAGCTTTTGAAAAATGATACAATATTTACAAGAAATGTTGATTATATCGAACTGTTATGTACATTTTGAGTATTACCATTAGTTGCATAATCTTTGGGTTGACTCTTTTAAACTCATATGATATTATGACTGTTATTTGTTATTAAATAACTCCTGTAATACTTTGCAGTTACTCAATTTCGAGCAACATAAAATGTACACTAGTCAGAGTATTAAACGCTCCAAAAAATTGTAATTATTTAGCTGACAAGTTAGTCCTAATCTTATTATTTTTAAAACTTGAATTTTATTTATAGTCAGTACAAGAAATCAAACACTAAATGGAAATTTACTTTCAGTAGCTTAAAATAAACGTGGATGATTTTAGTTATGATAGTTAAATTTACATTTGCAATAATTTTGCAAATACGGAGCTTTTTGGGGTTTGATAGGCTCAATAATTAGTCCTTACTTATATTGAAAAAAATGGTAATGGTTGAAAAATTTCCATGTACCATAGCATATACGCGAACATAGTGGAAGGGGCCCGAATTCGATTCTGGTTACAGGGCCCATAATCGAATATGGAGGCCATGAACATACCTGAATATTCGTTATCAGAAACAAAATTGACAACAAAGCGCCATCAGGACAGCGGAAGCCACATTAAGCCTTCTCCAAAATCCAGATTTTCATAGTCCACAACTCTGTACATGTATATGTTGTTTGTATATTTGTTGTTCCTGTCCTGGGGGAAGAGCGGACCTTTGGTCTAACTCAGGGCAGGAAGGCTGTAGCCAGGAAAACAATTAGGGAAAGGGGAACATTCACCATCAATATGAGTAATGAGTTTTACAACATCCAAGTAATCTAAATAATACATACTGTATGTGCAATACACAATAGTGAAAAAAACAATGTACTATTTCTTGCACTCTAAGCATAGTATTAATTTAATTTTCAACCCCCTTTTAAAAGTCTATATTTGTAAAACAATATCACAAAAATATTTTTTTAACTAATTAAAAGGGAATGAAATCTGCTAATCCTCTGTTTATTTCACACTCACTGTGTAATCTCACTATAAAAATAGAAATAGTAAAAATGAATGAAATCATAAAAATAGGAGTCAGACTAAACACATGACACAACTTTCACAATATATTGCAGTACACTTTTGATGTTGATATTTTGAAATGATTTGATTATAATTAAAATTATTTTAAATCACTCAATTGTTTCAAACTGTATTATGAAGAAACTCTTGTTTTCGTAACCCAAGGATGACGATTTTCCGACCACAACTAGGTTGAAAATGAACCAATCCAAAAAATTTGAATTGTTTAACAGTAAAACAGGTATTTATTTTTTACATATTACAATACAATAAATATTACAATACAATACATATTACATCCTTTTAAACATGTAAACTTGAAAAAGATGCTACAAAATGTATAAAATCTTTTATTTCA